TAACCATCAATGATACAATTTCTTCCACTCTACCAATTACCGTTGGAGTGCCACAGGGCAGCATCTTAGGACCTCTTCTATTTCTTATATATATAAACGATCTGCCTAATGTCTCTAATATTCTCAAACCTATACTGTTTGCTGACGATACTACTCTTATCTATTCAAACATCAACCCACATACACTAAATAATGTTGTGAATAATGAATTCAAAAAAGTCCACTTATGGATGTCAACGAACAAACTAACATTAAACATCGAAAAGACTTGCTACATCTTATTTGGAAGCAAATCATCAAATGCAATTCAGCTACAGATAGACAACATCAACATCAGTAATAAAAATGATGGCAAGTTTCTTGGCCTATTCCTAGACAAGAGACTCAACTTCAGCACCCACATTCAACACATAACTAAGAAAGTCTCTAAGACAGTTGGTATACTCTCCAAAATCAGATATTATGTTCCTAACTCTGCTCTCCTCTCACTATATTATGCACTAATCTACCCCTATCTTAATTATGGTATCTGTGCATGGGGGTCTACCACTGCAAACCACCTTAAGCCCATCATCACACAGCAAAAATCTGCTATCAGAATAATAACTAACTCTGCTTTCAGACAACACTCAGCTCCATTGTTTAAATCCCTAAACTTACTAAATATTAACTCCCTCCACACATTCTCTTGTGTCAACTACATTTACAAAACCCTGTTCTTAAATGCAAACCATGCTCAGAAACTCTCCCTGGACAGATGTAATAGGACCCATTATCACCACACCAGAAATAAATATCTCTTTGATATCCCCAGGGTCAAACTTAATCTGTGTAAACACTCTATGCAAATTAAGGGACCTAGTCTATGGAACTCACTCCCTAGTGAATTGAAAAACTGTAAAACTTTTGCCTTATTTAAAAGCAAAACCAAAAAGTACCTAACTTCATCTTCTTAGTTTCCTACACTGAGCTTTAAATTTGCTCTGTACCTAGTGTTACCCAATCTCCTAATTTTTATGTAATATCAAACAACCTTATCATTGTGTTCATTGCTGTCTTCTTCTATGTGCTAGCCATATGCTGTATTGTGACTACCAATTTTTGTCAACTACCATTCAAGCTGTCATTGCAACCAATCTTATATTGTTTCTGCTGTATTGTGCCTACCAATTTTTTGTCAACTACCATTCAAGCTGTCATTGCAATCAATCTCAGCTACCTATGTGCTTTAATATACTGTACCTACAATTTTCTCTCATCTTTTTTTCATTTCATGTAATCTGTTATCATTTTTTTGTCTATAATTTTTGCAAGTATTTACCTCCTTAAAATTTTCTTAGATTAAGGACCTGCCCGAAACGCTGCGCGTGCTAGTGGCTTTACAAGACTGTAATTACCATATTTGTATCCTCACATTCCTTATGTACATTCTTGTATATGCATAAATAAATAAATAAATAAATAACTAGGATGTAGATACCAAATTATCCTCGTGAGAGGTTAGCTTCCATCACCCAAGTAACTGATGTACCAAAATTAATTCTTGCATCCTCTTCTTGTTCCTGTCAAAGGGCACTAGCTGTAAAGCTGGAATCCTAATATGACAGCTATATCAGAGAAAACACTGTATATTATATTAGATAAGGACCAAGGCTTAATTACCTGTGTTGAGTCAATCGTTCGCATCCTAACCGGAATTAATCATATCTACCTAACATTACTGGCCAATAGTGACTTAGATAAGATTTCGGAAAGACACTTCCCTTGTGGTTGCTGACAGCGTGTTGATGATGGTAGAACACTAAATTTGATCTCCATAACACTTCGTCCAAGAGAATTATAGGAGCGGAATTTGCTCCAACGACTCGGTCTTAACAAACATTGGCTGACCTCTTCACACCACTGACAATACTGACTCACTTTGTCCAGATGTCAGTAAGTGATAGAAGGGTCACATTTACTCTGTTTTGATACTGATAATTAAGTTAATTCAAATGAGATGTTTTTATGATGTAATAAGTCCAAAGACTAATGTATTTAAGAATAATTCCCAACAGAATAGCTGGTGAATTTATAGTACTATGTGGCAATAATATCCCATTTTCTATTGACGGAAAATTCCACTACAAGCTACATTTTCTATGGGGTTAACTTGTGTATACAACATAGTAGCAATATTATCTGCGTATTGTATGTAATATTAGTAAATGGTGTCGAGTTTTCTGACAAGGTGTGTGGTTCTTTCCAGATCTCTGGGTTTGGTTTCCTGGTGATCTGGAGGCCGTTCCATCTGTTTCCAGCCCGGGTTCGGACCTGGCTGGGTCTTGTTTAGGGCTCTTGGGCCGCTCCTTGTCCCCCCCTCCAGAAGTGTTGCTGTGGTTCCACCTTCGGCTGTTCATGAGTGGGTCCCAGGTTGCTCGAGCAGTTGTGCGGAAGTCTGAACTTCGACGTGCTGGTCTGCCTGCAGGGTTGGGTTTGGCTTCAGCATCTGTTTGGTTCCTTCGGACACTCTCCTTCCGCCTCTCTTGCAATCGTTGGGTTTGTTCCTCCGGGGATCTTGTGTTGGTGCTGCGTCACCAGCTTCCTCTTTGGGGTTTTCGGGGTTCCATGCCTTGGCACTTCCCCCGAGCCTTCGCTCGATGTGTTCACGGACAGGTCATCTCTCAGCTGGGGCTTTGTGACCAGTGCTCACCAGGTCAGCCAGGGATGGTGTGGTATGTCCATTCATCGGGCTAACAGCACGGTTCGGGAGTTCGTGGCTGTCTGGTTTGCGCTTCAGAGGGTTCGGGTCACTCGGTGCTCTACCATTCAGCTCCATTCGGACTGTTCTCTGGTGGTTCTTTACCGGAACCACAGGGTTTCTCTTAGGTGTTTGCCTTTGGGGTTGGTCCCTTCAAGTGGCTCGTTTGCTGGATTCTCTGGGTTTGGCTAACCATGAGGTTCATGTCCGGGGTGTGTCCTACATCCTGGCGGACAGCCTGTCTCAGTTCATTCCTCTGTTAACAGATTGGCCAGTCGTCGCCGACTCGTTTCGTTGGCTCTGCCGGACGTATGGACTCCTGGCCATGGACGTCTTCGAGTCGGTGTGGTCTAGGCGTCGCCCATTCTATGTGGCGCCCTTACCCGCCTGCAAGGCGTTCACGGTGGATGTCTTTCGGCAGGACTGGTCGAGGTGAGGGTACCTGTTCCTCTTCTCCCGGTCCAGCTGTTGCTTCGGTTTCTGGCTCGGTTAGAGTCCATTCCCAAAAGAGTAGTCCTCATGGCCCCTTGGTGGCTGGCCCAGCTTTATTTTCGGACGATGCTTGATAAGTGTCCAAATCCGGGGCGTTTTCCCGCGGCTCCGCCTCTTTCGGCAGGTTGGACCAGTCCTGTACGTGACTGGTTCGGCCTTCTCCTCGGCTCTTCGCATCTGGTTTTTTTATGCAGGTATCACCATCTCTGTGGTGATCAGGTGGTTTTGTTGATGGTGTCCCACCTGCAAGCTTTGTCTCGGCGACAGTATGATATTCCTGGTGTTTCTATGCACTTTTCCTAACCCTTTGTAGGTCGTCTTCTCTTTCGCATCGAGTTGTCTTGTCCTTTCTTGGGTTTTCAGGACTACAGTTATATAATGTTTCTTACTGTAGCCTTGTTTTGTGCGGCACTGGCGGAGCAACTCCGGCTTGCGTGCGGGGTGGATGTCACATCTGCCCCATTCCGTACGCTTTCTCGTGTTTTGTTTCACCTCCGGCTTGCTCATGCATCGCCTGAGCTGTCCTGGTCCTTGATCAGGGTGCCCTCTTATCTTCTACTCAGTTTGTGGTAGCCCCATCGGTTCAGGTTTCTGCTCTTTGGTACTGGTGGTAGGTTTGTACGTTGCAGCCTTTCTCCGTCCTTCTGGCGACGGTCGAGACGGCTGCTTACCGGGGGAGGGGGATCCTTGGGTTATTGATGCTTGATTGGTTCGGCCGGGGGTGCGTCCTATGTTGTCCGGTTGTGCTTTTTGCCGTTACCTGCGTACCTTTTCAAAGGAAGCACTTCGGGTTGATCCGGTTCCCTGTTTCAGGGCTCAGGTCTCCCAGGTCATCCACAGAGTTTTTAGGTCTTCCAGCCTGAGGTCTATCCTTGCACCCATGCTGTTCGGACGTTTACAGCTTTCGCTGCTGTGTTGGTGACGTCTAGGGCTCATTTCGGGCGCGAGGATTTGAGGGTCGCACAGGTTCCTGGCTGCCCGTTCTTTATGCGCGCGTCTGCTCCTGTGCGATCTTGTTACCTTGGGTCACAAGTTGCAGCCTATTGTCTCGGGTTCGTATTGTGGAGTTTGTGGCGGCTGCCTCCCGGGTCAGCCCTTTCTTTTCCTTCTCTTTGGGTATGAAGCTCCAGGGAGCCGTAGGGGCTCTCCACAGAAAACTAGCGTTGAATGTAATGAAAAGCCATTTTCTGGGTGAGCCCCAGAGGCTCCCTGGCAACCCTCCCTCCCACTGGTTGGTGGTTTTTTCACATTGGTTGAAGCTTAGCTTCCGAACTGATGCTAGGCAGCCGGCATGGTGAGGTCCGGGGCTTCTCCCTCCCCCTCTCGGGGCTGGGAGGGCTGCGCGGACGATCGGTGTGGCAGTACAGTGTGATGTTTGCTTGTTTCCTTGGGATTGTAGGGAGTTTCTTCCTCTCTGTTCGTTTTTTTGTTTTAGTTTTGTTACCATATGGTTGGTTGGTTTTCCTTATCTGATGGCAGATAAGGAAAACCCCAACCACAAGGGGGTTTTCCAGGGCCATTGCTCCCTGAAACCTCTCTGAAGGGACCAGATTCTAGCGCTGGTCCCTGGTAGGTCTGAACTCCTTAGTTAATGTCCCGGTCTAATATAACATACATTAGCCCGATAAACTCCAGGGAGCCTCCGGGGCTCACCCAGAAAATGGTGTTTCATTACATTCAACGCTGGTTTTTCAGAATTTATAGGTCAGTATATTTAAATTATATTTCCATTTTTTTTACTTCAAAATTTATTTCCAACTTTTACCAGACTACCAATGAGTCATTGGCTGGGGCCACATACAAGATGGACATGTTTAGAGACAGCGACTACAAAATACCCATCAGATCTGATGACTTCCCTGTTTCTACCAACATTAATCGCAGGCTGTACATCAGGACAGCACTTGCTAGTGGTAAGAAATTAATATTTGCCAAATGATTCTTTTTCATTTGTGAGTTAAATGGAAAATTTTTTATTTAGAAAAATTTCAAAGTATTACACTTTGTGTAAAACTTTTCTTTTGCAGTTTCCCTTGAATGTATGTATGTACTTTATATAATAATTGTTTACATAGGAGATGTTCCAATACCTTTTATTCTTGATAATCCATGCTAACTCTCCAGTTGTTTATTTTGTGTACTTTGAAACATTTGTATCTAGCAGTTATAACTCACAAATTACTTATATAATACATGGCACCAAGTCTTTCTAAGCATTCATTCGATTGCCCCGTTAGGTAAGATCAAAGATGTCTGTTGATCAGGATCATTAGTCACTGGAGATGACATTCTAGCACCAGCAACACAGGTAGCTTTCAAGTATCTCTGCAGGGCCATATAAGGTGCTAGAGGCTCATTGGAGTTCACTCAATCCATCCAAGAATGACTGACAAATGTGTATTTATACTTCAAGTCATATTCAAATCATATTCAAAATCATATCTTGATGCTAACAGAATGCTCTCACTAACTGCTCATTCAGTTGCTTGGATATGTACACCCATCACCAGCTGGTGACAGCACTATGTTCCTGTCAAGATAACAATACCCATATTTCATCATTCCCTGACTGAAGAAAACCTAACCTGTATGCAGGGGATTCAGGGCAGATAGAGACAATCAAATGAATCAGCTCAGAAAGGGGTTTTACATATTACTCAACACTTTATATCTGGACTACTGGATTGCAGTTGGTTGTCAACTAAGGTAAGATTATTGAAATAACAAAAAGAAGAAAAAATGTGGTAAAACTCAAATATAATACAGATGTGTAACTGAAGGAAGCTGAGTAGTGCAGAAAACACTGTTGGGAAAGAGAGATGAGGGGCAAAAGTTATCAGAACCACATCCACCAGCCTGATGATTACAATGTTCTGCTAAAGTAGTCACTGAATGGAGCCACAATGCTAAATTGTAGGAAGTCAATGCACAGTTAAGGCACTTTTGGTCTGCCTGAAAACCCTGAAACCCTGAAACCCTGAAGGAGTGTCGGACCATCCGGGCTGTGGTGGGTATGTGGGCCTGCGGGCTGCTCCAAGTAACAGCCTGATGGACCAAACTCTCACAAGTCAAGCCTGGGCTTGGGGTGGGCTTAGGGAGTAGAAGAACTCCCAGAACCCCATCAAGCAGGTAGCAAGCACACAGTTTAGAGCAAGACATAGCCAAGGAAAAAATTCTGTGTGTATCTAAGACATGAACATTTAGCTGGAGGAATATAATATATAACCTCAGCTTAACAAATGAACATAACGCAAGTCTAAAAATAATGGAAGAAAAGGCACAAAAATCTTTCATCAGATGAGATTCAAAGAAAGTCATTCACTACGAAACCATCATATAAACCAATCTTTTGTCTTTGGGTGTATGACACTTTCACCGTTGGACTTCTGTTTACGTTGAGTCACTTCCGATTGGTGACTTTCCAGGTAGCAGCTGCACTGTAAGGCCAAACCTTTGTTCCAATTTAGACAATCCCTTAATGGGGCAAATTGAGTAATTGGTTTTGTACATTTGTGCTAAGTTCACTTCATTTCTTTGTGGTGCCTCTTGTATTGGTTTATCTGATTTTGCCAGTTTTTCTACTCCCAGGACTGGTGGGTTCAGGCCCCATCCACTCTTCATCAGCTCTTGCTTTGCCGACTTCTCCTTTCAGATTTTTGGGGTACAGTTCCATAGCACCATCATTCCCTGCTATTCAGTGTGTTCACAGATGCCTTGTCTCTGGGTTGGGGCTTTGTGATCAGTGCTCACCAGGTTACCTAGGGTTGGTAGTCATGCCCATTCTTTTGGGTGCAGAGCATGGTACACAATTTTGTGGTTATGTGGCATGCTCTGAGGAGGATTTGGCTTTCTCTGAGCTCTGTGCTCTTGCTTCACTCTGACTGTTCCCTTGTGGTTCAGTGCCTGACCCTGAGGGGAAAGGGAGGGGAAGGTTGCTTCAGTTCTTTGCGTTGTGGGAGCTGGGCGCTTTGGATAGCTTAGCTTCTGGCTACCTACCTTGAGGCTACCTTGAGGTGCTTCCGGGGCTTAGTGTCCCCGCGGCCCGGTCGTCGACCAGGCCTCCTTGTTGCTGGACTGATCAACCAGGCTGTTAGACGCGGCTGCTCGCAGCCTGACGTATGAGTCACAGCCTGGTTGATCAGGTATCCTTTGGAGGTGCTTATCCAGTTCTCTCTTGAACACTGTGAGGGGTTTGCTAGTTATGCCCCTTATGTTGATCAGGATTATTAGTCACTGGAGATGACATTCTCCAGACTACCAATGTCTGGAGTCTCGGGGTTTGATTCACAGTGCATCCTCTTGTATGGGATGTTTCCAATGTTCCTGCAGATGGGTTATCTCACTTTAGTCTCATTTCCATGAAGTAGACCTTCAGTTAGCTTTGCGAAATGGTCAGTCACCCTCAGGTAAACCTCTACATTGGTGTGGAACCAGTGCCTTCCCTCCTACATGACTTCATTCCATGATCACGGAGCTCTCTTGGTGGATGTTTTTGGACTGGACTGATTGAGTTGAGGTTCATTTATCTTTACACCTGGTTCAGTTGTTGCTGCAGGTGCTATCCAGGAAGGGTGATCTTCCAGGCTCCTTGATGGCCAGCCCAGCCTTAGTTTCCAGCAGTGCTGGAAACCAAGGTTGGGCTGGCCAGAACTTGGATAATTTTCCCAGCTCGGTCTCTTTCACCAGATTAACTCAGTTGTGTACTTTAATGGTTATATCTTTGTCTCTTCTCTTCGTGTCTGAAGTTTTTTTCTGGGTGGAGCCCCGTCGGCTCCCCGGAGCTATCCCAGGCTGATATGCTAATGTCAGACTTTGGCATCAGTCATGTGTATGGAGTTCTTAGGCCTACCGGGGACCACGGCCAGAACCGGGCCCCCTCAGAGAGGCAAGGGGAGCAATGGCCTATAGAAGCCCCCGTGTTAGTGGAAGCATTCTATGTCTGCCATCGACCGGAACAGGCACCCAGAAAGGTAAGCGCCCCAAAACAAACCCCTATTCTGGTTAAAATTGCTACCTAAAACCGAACTAGTGGATAGAACTCCCCAACCGAAAACAAGCAAACTAGTGTGACGTCACACACTGCCGCGCCGCTGTCTGCGCAGCTCCCCCCTCCCCGGGAGGGGGAAGGGGGAGCCCCAGACCCCCCGCGCCGGCTACCCACACCTCAGTTCTTGAGGCTGATGCTATAGGCGATGGTCGTGTGCTCTGGCTCCGGTGTCGCTACTGCACTGTGCTTTGCGTGTGGTGTTAGTTTTGTGGGTGCGAGAGCCAGGAGTTATCTTCAGTACTCGGGCTGCATGCGCCTAGGGCTGCCTTCCCTAGGTGCCCTGTAAGTACTGCCCTTGGGGCTTGGGGCCACCTTCCACAGGCTCCTCGGGGTCTGCCTCTGCTGGTCCGTTTTACCTTTCGGTTTTTCGGCCGCCTGTTGGGCTCTTGGGTGTTCTGTTCTCCCTTGTTACCGGCAGGTAAGAGGCAGTTTGCACTGGTAGGGGCGCAGGGTGCTGCTCAGCTTGTATTTCCCGACATCGCGGCCGGCTCTGTTCCTTGGGGTTCGCTGTCCTCTTGCGGGGTTTTGTTTTTCTTTTTGTTTTTGCCTGGTGGGGGGTTCTGTCATTTTATTCAGTTTATTTTTGCCCTTCCACTGTTCTCATCGGTGGCGCCCCCTGCTAGGTCCCCGTGAGTGTACACGTCCCTGGGGTTCAGCTTTAGAAGTTTGCTTGGTAGTTTTGGGCGCCGGTTTGCAGCACCCTGCCTGGGACTACCTGAGCGCGAGTCCTCTTAAAGTAAACGCTCAGGACCCTGGGAATTCCCTAGGGGGCGCGTGGGTCCGATGGATGTGACCCCGGAGTCCCCAGTCGCTGTGTGCGAGTTTGAGGGTTGCTCGGTCCCCTTGTATCAGGGTGACCCTCATTGTTTTTGCCTCTGCCACGCTGCCTGTTGGGTCGGTGATACTTTCGACCCTGAGTCCTGTGAGTGTTGCTGCTTGCTTGTGACTCAATTTACCCAATCCTCTGATTCTATTCGGGTACGGGCGGCACGTGCGTTGCAGTCTAGGTTTCGTCTGTTGCAACGTGCTCGGTTGGTTGCTTCCCCGGATGCCCCGGGGCTGCCCCGCTTTGCTTTTCGAGACCCGGACTTGGGGGTGGGGGTCGCTTCGATCCTGGTTCAGTCCGCACCTCCTCGTCCTTCCCCTTCTGTTCGTTCTGGTCCCCCGCCCCTGCTTCCGGCCCCGAAGCGTCTGAGGGTTTCCGGGTCGGAGCAGGGGTTACTTGATCTCGAGACTCGGGCAGCTTCGGGGGTTGCCCCTTCCGGGGGGGCGGCAGAGGCATTCGAGTCTTGTCTCCCGGCCGAAGCTTCAGGGTCTGACCAGTGGGCCCCTCTTCCTCCAGCTTTTCCGGCTGCTCCGTCCTTGTTTTGTGGGGTCGGGGCTTGGGGAGAGGACTCGGCCTCGGGTCCTGTGGTGACGGACCTCGAGCTGGGGAGGGGCTGACTTGGGGGCCTTGGGCCCCGCTGGACCCCGCCTGGGTTTTTCTTCCCACTGAGCGGGGCTTATTGTTACAAGGAGTGGGGTTTTCTTTCCCCCCCTCTGCGTACGAGTTGGATTTGGTGTAGGCCCCTCCCCGGGTGCGGTTCCGTGTTCCCCCGGGTACGTCGGTTCCGTCCTTCCGGAGGTTTTCGGCTTATCGCATCCAACCTGGTGTGGTGCGAGCGGCCTTTGCTGCTTACCTCCTGCGTGACCCGGATTATGCCTCGGAGATGGATCCGTCCACGTTCAGGTTTGGGACTTCGTTCCCTTTCTGGCTCCGTTACGAGGTTCCGGAGTCGTCCTGGCTAGCAGACTGCCCCTTGTTTGGTCTGGATTCCTGGCATTCCTTCTGTCGTTCCCGCGCGCTGGAGTGGCGGTGGCGGGAGTGGATTGTCGAAGACGAGTCCTTCCTTTGGCTTTGCCAGACGTTCGGGCGCCCCGAGGTGGACCTCTTCGCGTCGGCGTGGTCGCGGCGTCTTCCCGTTTATGCGGCGCCCTTCCCCGATTGCGAGGCCGTCGGGGTCGATGCCTTTCGGCTCGACTGGACGAGGTGGGGGTTCCTGTATCTCTTTCCCCCGGTTCGGCTGTTGCTCTAGGTCCTGACTCGCTTAGAGACTTACCGGGGGAGAGTTGTCCTTCTGGCCCCTTGGTGGCCGGCCCAGCCTTGGTTTCAGGCGCTGGTTGCTCGGTGTCCGAACCCGAGGGTTTTTCCCGCGGCTCCGCCTCTTTCAGCAGATCGGGCCGGTACGTCACGTAGCTGGTTCGATCTTCTCCTCGAGTCTTCGCGTATGGTTTTTTTGACTCGAGTCTATCATCATCTCTATGGTGATCAGGTGGCCTCCTTGTTGGTGTCCCACCTGAGGGCTTCTTCTCGGCGGCAGTATGCAGTTTTCCTGGCGGTCCTTCCGTTTCTTTTTGCGTCTTCGTCGTGTTAGCTCCTTGTCTGTTCGGGTGGTCTTGTCCTTCCTCTCGTGGTTGTTTCAGGACCGTCATCTTATGCCTAACACTGTCGCTTCGTATCGTGCGGCGCTGGCGGAGCCGCTTCAGCTTGCTTTCGGTATCGATGTTACGTCTGCGCCATTTCGCAAGCTGTCTCGTGCATTGTTTCCCCTCCGGCCTGCTCATGCGTCGCCTGAGCCGTCCTGGTCTTTGGACAGAGTGCTCGCTTTCCTTTCATCTCCTCGTTTCGTTGTGGCCCCTTCGGTCCAGGATTGTTTTTCCAAGGCACTTTTCTTGTTGGCTTTGGCCTCTGGGGGTCGGGTAGGGGAGCTTCATGCTCTCCTCCGGCGCAGGGGTTTCTGCTCTTTTGGTCGTGGTGATAGTTTTGTTCGTTTGCAGCCGTCTCCTTCTTTTCTGGCGAAGAATGAGACTGCTGCGTTCCGGAGGGGTCCATGGGTGGTTGATGCTTGGTTGGTCTGGCCGGGGGTGCATCATGTTTTGTGATCGGCGGTTGCAGCCAGTTGTCTCGGCTTCGAGTTGAGGGGTGAGCGACGACCGCCTCCCAGGTAAGTCCCTCTTTTTCTGTCTGTGGGTAGTTAGCTCCGGGGAGCCGACGGGGCTCCCCCCAGAAAACCAGCGTTGAATGTAATGAAACGCCATTTTCTGGGTGAGTCCCGGAGGCTCCCCGGCATCCCTCCCTCCCTCCGGTCGGCGGTTTTTTCGCGTTTTTGACATCCAGCCTCAAGAACTGAGGTGTGGGTAGCCGGCGCGGGGGGTCTGGGGCTCCCCCTTCCCCCTCCCGGGGAGGGGGGAGCTGCGCAGACAGCGGCGCGGCAGTGTGTGACGTCACACTAGTTTGCTTGTTTTCGGTTGGGGAGTTCTATCCACTAGTTCGGTTTTAGGTAGCAATTTTAACCAGAATAGGGGTTTGTTTTGGGGCGCTTACCTTTCTGGGTGCCTGTTCCGGTCGATGGCAGACATAGAATGCTTCCACTAACACGGGGGCTTCTATAGGCCATTGCTCCCCTTGCCTCTCTGAGGGGGCCCGGTTCTGGCCGTGGTCCCCGGTAGGCCTAAGAACTCCATACACATGACTGATGCCAAAGTCTGACATTAGCATATCAGCCTGGGATAGCTCCGGGGAGCCTCCGGGACTCACCCAGAAAATGGCGTTTCATTACATTCAACGCTGGTTTTTTTATACATGTCACCTCTTATCACTTGGCTTTAGCAGAGCTAGCTGCTGTTGCTTGCATTTAGTGTTGAAACCTCCTCAATGCTGTTGTTTCAATTGGGCTTGTGCATTATTTTCATCTATGGCCTTCTCATGCTCCTGTTGGAAGCACTTCCAGGCTCTCACCTCCAGGTGTAGAGTTGGGAAGCTGCTGGCTCTTCTCTGTGGGCAGGAGTTTTGTACCTTTGGCTCTGGTGGGTGTTTGTTTGCAGCCTTCTCCTTCTTTTCTGGTGAAGAATGAGTTTGCACGCTCATGGAGAGATCCTGTGATGATTGGTGCTTGACTGGTTCAGCTAGGGGTGTATCATTTGTTGTATTCAGTGACGGCTCTTTGCCAGTACCTGCTGGCCACCAGTTCTGTCTTGGTGCATGCTTTATTGGTAGACTGTTTCTTTGCTTCCCTGTTCCAAGGATCACATTTCTCAGATCGTCTGCAGTGTCAAGTAGCAGCTTTGGTCTATCCTCAGGCCCCATGATGTTTGTAAGTACTCAGTCTTGGCCGCAGTGTTCTCTAGCATGTCCTGTGCTGATATTTGGGTTTAGGTGGTTCTGATGCTGTAACAAGGTTTTGGTGGCCTAGTATTTAGTCAATGTTCCTTGGTCCTAATTGGTCATGTGCTGCTTTGGGGTGTGTTTCCTAGCCTGGGTTCTCTTCTTTGTTGTAGTGCCTACTGGCTCTCCTCCTCCTTCCTAGTAATTCCCATTTTTGTTCTCTGTGGCTATTTAGCTTTAGGGAGTCACCAGGGGGCTCCCTAGAGAAACCCAGCATTGAATGTAATAAAATGCCACTTTCTTGAGGAAGCCTGGTGCCCTCCTGATTCCTCTCCCTCCAGGTTCTTCAGTTCAATGTTAGGCTGTTTATCAACTCCAGAACTGACCTGAGGAGCCAGTAGATGGCTGAGGCTGGGCTGCCTGGTGGTGGTAATTGCCAATAATGAGTTTTGAGGTAGTTTGTGTGAATTCCTTGTTTTGAACAAATTGTTTGCAAAGTTGTTTAGAGGTTTTGAGGCTTTGTTTTCTGTGAACCCTCCAGTTATCTGTAAAGCTTTGCTATATTTCTGGATGCTTTTGTCGTGTTGAGTGGCAGAATGTCACTCATTCCCAGAGCCTCTGAGGGGATCCAGATTCTGGATCTCTTCCAGAACTTCTGAGACTGATGTGACCTTTTAATATGGAGCAATATCCACTAGATAGCTTTTAGAAGTCACCAAGGTTCCTCTAGAAAGTGGAGTTTCCTTACATTCAATGCTGGGTTATTATTCAATCTTTGTTTTCTTTGTATCTTACAATGCAACAGTCATTTGCAGACATTTAAATTATAATTTATTTCAAATATACAGTATGTCAATATTCAGCCTCACAAACTTATAACTATTGAAGAAATTAATATAAACAGATGCACTAACTTAAAATTATTAAAAATATTTGTGTTCAGCACACTGCATGGTGCTCATAGCCTGGTTTACTGAGCAGGAACAGGTTGGACGAACAAGAACGGACAGGAACAAGGAACAAGAACCATCGAATTTTCATTTATAAATTCATCATTATTTAAATTCCTTAACAAACAGCCTTATGTCATTTGAACAAGGAGTTAAAAGGCCTGTAAATCTTGTAATTCTTAAAGTATTTGTGTCGGTGGACATCGCGTATAGCTATATTCTTTGTGCTTCTAGTGATGCCGTTAACAGAGGCATATGATGTACACCTGCGTGTTGTACTTGAGCAATGTTGGCTGAGCAACAGCTCCATCCCACACCGCCCTGGTGCTCCCCATGAATCTTTGGTGAGGAAGTCATGCCCACTCCGCCCCTCTGTCATCATGGAGCCGGTGTTGTTCCACAGCTTTAGCTTCCAGGTATTGAGTGCTCTACTGTACTGTATATAGTGTATACATACTTCCTTATTTGTTAGCATATTTGTGTAAAACAAAGACTTGTGGTCACAAATAACAAAATGTTTAGAAAGTAGTGGTGAAGACGGATTTCTTGATAGATATGCTTGAACATAAGAAGACAACAGTAAAAGAAACTGCACGAGGGATGAAGTTGGTCTTTTGATGAATAAAGATTGGCTTGGCACTATGTATGATTTAAACTCAACCACACCTACACATGTGCTGTATGTCTAACTCTGCTTAACAAAATAACATAATGTCTATTTGTCTATTATGTTACTTGGTAACCTGTCCTACACTATATATCCCTATTTCCTCACCAGTATTAACAATTACTTTCTGCGGGGAGCCCCTTCGACTCCCTGGAGCTTATCCAGGCTGATATGGAACTATTAGACTTTGGCATCAGTCAGTGTGAATGGAGTTCTTAGGCCTACCAGGGATAATGAGCCAGAACCTGGCCCCTCAGAGAGGGATGAGGAGCAATGGTCTATAAAATTGCACATGTGATTTGAAGCATTCTATGTCTGCCATTGATCGGGTCAGGCACGCAGAAAGGTAAGCATCCCAAAACAAACCCCTATTCTGGTTGAAACTACTACTAAAAAGTCAAAATGAGTGGACAGAACTCCCCAAAGTAAAACAAGCAAACAAGCATGACATCACCACGTTGCTGCGCCGCCATCTGTGCAGCTCCCCCCTCCCCAAGAGGGGGAAGGGAAGAGTCCCAGACCCCTCATGCCGGCAACCCGCACCTTCAGTTCTCGGCTTATGTGATTGAGGTTTGGTCGTGTGACTCCAGCTCCTGTTTCTTGTTCTCAGTGCTGTGCCTTGTGTCATAGAACTGTCTTCAGGGTGGTGCGTTAGCTGGGAGTAATCTTCACAGGTACTCGGGATGCATGTCCTTAGGGTTCCCTTCCCTCAGTGCCCTTTAAGTACCGCACTTGGGGCTTTGGGTTATCTTCTACAAGTCACCTTGGGGTCTACCTCTGTTGGTCTTTTGTTGCTCAGAAATTGACCATTCTGAGTGTGCTGGGAGGTTTTCTCTTCTTCCCTTGTTTACCTTAAGGTAATGAGTAGTTTGCACTGGTAGGAGCGCACAGGTACTATAGGGTAGGTACTGCACAGCTTGTTTTCACCTATTATAGTGGCTGGCTCTGTTCCGCCTGGGTACGTTGTCCTCTTGCGGGGTTTCTCTTTTGTATTTGTTTTCCTGCCTGGTGGGGGGTCTGCCTTTGGTTTGTTGCCCCCCCTATCTGTACCTTAGGTTTATATATATCTATGTTTCTGGGTGGTACCCTCCTGCTAGGACCCCATGAGTGGACACGTCTGGGAGTTCAGCTTTTAGCAGTTTGATTGGTAGATTTGGGTGCCGGTTCGCAGTACCCTGCCTGGGCTTACACTTAGCGATACCAGTTTAAGGGCTCTGGGAAACCCTGCAGGGGTGCAAGGGGTTTGATGGATGCAACCCTCATGATTCCCTCTCGCCTTGTGCGAGTTTGAAGGTTGCTCAGCCCCCTTGTCTCAGGGGGACTCTCACTGTTTTTGCCTCTGTCATGCTGCCTGTTGAGTCAGTGACACCTTCGACCTGGAGTCCTGTGAGTGTTGCTGCTTGTTTGTGACTCAGTTCACCTAGTCCACTGATGACTATATCCGGGTGCAGGTGGCTCAGGCGTTGCATGCTAGATATAGGTTGCTGCAATGTGCTCGGTTGATTGCTACCCCGGAAGCCCCGAGGCTGCCCCGTTTTGCTTATAGGGACCCAGACTTGGGAGCATTGGTCACTTCGGCCTTGATTCAGTCCACACTCCCTCATTCTTTCCCTGCTTTGGTTCATTCTGGTCCCCCCCTTCCCTGCTTCCAGCTCTGATGCATCTGAGGGCTTCGGGGTCGGGGCAGGGTTTAGAAGGTTCTGAGACTTGGGCAGTTCCGGGGGTTGCCCTTTCCAGGGGGGGAGGGGGGGTACGGAGGTATTCGAGTCGGTTCCTCCTGCCGTGACAACGGGGTCTGACCAGTGGGCCCCCTTCCTTCCTGCCTGTCCGGCTGCCCCAGTTTTTTCTTGTGAGGCAGGGCTTTGGAGGACGACTCTGCCTCAGGTCCTGGTGTGGAGGTTCCTGGGGTTGGGAAGGGGCTGACTTGGGGGGCCCTGGGTCCCATTGAACCCCACCTGGGTTTTCTTACCCTACGAGTGGGGCTTACTGTTACAAGGAGTGGGTTCTTCCCCCCCCCCTCTGCGTATCAGTTGGATTTGGTGCCGGCCCCTTCCCAGGTTTGGCTCCATGTCCCGTCAGGTCTGTTGGTTCCGTCCTTCCGGAGGTTTTCGGCTTATGCCTCTATAATGGCTCCATCTCCATACTGGGTTCGTTCTGAGGTTCTGGAGTCATCCAGGCTAGCGGACTGCCCTGTGTTGTTGGTGAATGCTTGTAGTACTTTCTGTTGTGCCTGCACGCTTGAGTGGTGCGAGCCATTGACAGTGGTCCAGGATTACCTGGGGGCAAATTCAAGCACCTCAGTGTGTGTGTTCGCCCCTGCCCTTCAGCGGGATGTTGGCGTCGTTCAGCTTCACGTGCAGGTTCCCTCCCTTTCAGCTGCATTGGTGGCTGAGGACTTGGGCGCTTGTGGTTTCTGGCTTCGGTCTTGCAATTCTTTTCCTTCCTGGAGCTGTCTTCGGATTGACTTCAGGAGGATTTGGAGGTGCTTGGGGCCATTCCTAGGTCTGGTGCCTTGGTCTCAGCCGCACATGCGTCGTGCGCTGCTGAAGCTGTTTGTTCCAATCCTGCGGGACGAAGTGTCGCAGTTTTTCGCTTCGTGTCTCACGTGTCAGCAGGTGGTGCTCGCTTCCTCGTTGGAATCTGCTTGAGCCCTTACCTTGAGGTTACCTTGAGGTGCTTCTGGGGCTTAGCGTCCCCATGGCCCGGTCGTCAACCAGGCCTCCTGGTTGCCGGACTGATCAACCAGGCTGTTGGACGTGGCTGCTCACAGCCTGATGTATGAGTCACAGCCTGGTTGATCAGGTATCCTTTGGAGGTGCTTATCCAGTTCTCTCTTGAACACTGTGAGGGGTCAGCCAGTTATGCCCCTTATGTGTAGTGGAAGCGTGTTAAACGGTCTCGGACCTCTGATGTTGATAGAGTTCTCTCTCAGAGTACCTGCCCTGGCTCTTAATTTTTCATTGCATTATTGTCCCTTGCTGTTTGCAGAGTCTGCAGTTGGGCAGTTTCTGCAAGTAACCTCTTCTAGTTGTTGTCCAATGTCGGACTTGTTGGTCCTTCGGGGGTCCGGGGGGGGGGGGATTCCACCTTGAAGGGTCGTGCCTGGGCTTGGGGTTCCTCTCGTCATGGTAGGCCGCTGGTGCCAGTTTCTGGGTCGGCGCCTCCTTCGGATCCATCTTCGTATGGTCAGCGAGGTGATCGCTCTGTGCATAAGTCAGGTTCTTGCATGGGGCGTCAGCCCTTTCGTGGTTCGCCCCATTGATGGGGGCAATGGGGGGAAAGCTCGGGCTGTTTGCTCACGCCTGGTCTCATGATTTGTAGGATTTTTGGGTAATTTCCCATGGCTTGCGGTGGCATTGGGTGGCCCCTCCTCTTTCAGGGGGGGTTTGGGGCTGGCGGTGCAGGTCTCTTCTCCTGTGCTGTGTCGGATCATCTCAGAGTGGGTACACTTGGGTGTGGTAGAAACAACGACGTCCCTCAGGTGGGTTTTCTGTCTGTTCCCAGTCCTGAAACAGGACCTGAGTGAACCTGAGGTTCATTCTGGACTTATTTTATTTGAACCCCCTGGGTGTTTTGCCCTTCTTTTTGAATGACTACTCTGTCCAAGGTCCGGCTTCTGTTGGAGCTGGGTGCTTGGATGGAGTCTGTGGACCGCCGGGACGTGTACCGGCACATCCCGATTCATGCAGGGTTCAGGGACTGGCTCGGTTTTGTTGTGGAATGTCTCAGTTACTGCATTCGTTGTCTCCTGTTTGGGTTGATTCTGGCATTTTGCATGTTTACATGCCTTACCCGGGTCCTTGTGGCTTGTCTGCATCTGTTAGGTCTTCGGGTGCTGGCCTACCTTGATGACTGGCTGGTCTCAGCTCCCAGCCAGTTCGCATGTCTGCTCACCAGGGATCTGATTCTTTCCCAGTTCGCTGGGTTTGGGTTCCTGGTGAAGTGGTGGAAGTCCCATCTGGTTTCCTTTCTCAGGTTTGGACTTGGCTGGGTCTTGTGTGGGACTCTTGGACCACTTCCTTGTCTCTCTGGAGTCTCTGCTTTGGCTGCGCTCCCACCTTCACTTGTTTCTGGGGGGCTCCTGGGTCACGCGGCGGTTGCTCGAAAATTTGTGCGGGAGCCTGAACTTTGCCATGATGGTCTATCTGCCAGGTTGGGTTTGGCTTCATCAGTTGTTTTGGTTCCTTCGGGGGATGTCTCTTCCACCACTCTCGCAACCGCTGGGTTCGGTCTCCGGGGGGCCTTGCATCAGCTGCTGCGTCGCTGGCTTTCTCTTCAGGTTTTTCGGGGTTCAGTGCCTTGGTGCCTACCGGAGCCCTTGCTCGATGTGTTCATGGATGCGTCGTTTCTTGGCTGGGGCTTTGTGACCAGTGCTCACAGGCCGGCCAGGGGCAGTGAGGTCCATTCTTATGTCGGACCCACAGCATGGTGCGGGTGTTTGTGGTGGTGTGGATGTCACTTCGGAGGGTTCGGGTCGCTCGCGGATTAACGATCAGGCTCCATTTGGACTGCTCCTCGGTGATTCATTACCTGAACCGAGGGGGTTCGATGTGGTCCTTGGCTCTTTGGTGCTGGTTGCTTCGGGTGACTCATCTGCCGAGTTCTCTGGGTTTGGCTCTCCTGGCCGTTCATGTTTGGAGGGTTGTCCAATATCCTGGCAGACAGCCTGTCTTGGTTCATTCCCTGTCTATGGAATGGACAGTCGACTCCAACTCACTCAGTTGGCTCTGCCAGATGTACAGGGTCCCA